AACCCACAGGGAGTAACTTGCAAACTCCACACAGAAACTATGCCAAGATGTGTGTTGCAACATGTTTTTAGTAAGTAAAATACTTGGCTTGTAGTAATTACAGAGCATTCCGTGTGATTCATTTTCTGAAATCAACTAATATACTCATTTACCAATCATTTTGTTTGTTTCATCTGTAACAGTGGCCTACTTACAAGTAAAAAATAAGGAAACCTTTTTGCGGAGGATGCAGTGTTTTACACGTGTTGAGTTTAAAACTTAATATAATTCACACCTAAAATATCATTTTTATTTACTAATATAACTTATTAATGTAGATTCTTGCTTGTATTCTGTAGGTAATGTCCTTGGGTTTCGCAAAAGGCACTTTATATTTGAATGTACTATAAAATTTAGTTTAAAAAGACACCAAAACATATAATAGATGAATCTTTTATTTAATAGACAAACTAACTTGAATTTTGCTTTAGGGAATTTATTAAGCAAAAATGCCAAACACTAGTTCTTTCTAGCTTCTAAAATGTGAGAATTTGTCATTGTAAGTTAAATATCTTTAGTTTTTAGAGTGTTGTTATTTAAAGGTGTGCTCTGGAAACTTGTGATTGCCATTTTCACTATTCAAATGACTAAACAATAAAACAAAGTCGTCGTCATCAGATCAATAATGAAAATATTCTTTATTATACATAAACACATGTCCAACTTCTGGCTAAATATATCCTGTAACGCATGTCACGTTGTTGTTGTAAAGCCACTAAGAACAACACTAATTAACCTTCCCTCGCTCATTTGGAGTGACGAGAAGAGAAACATTTTAGTCGGCTCCACGTTAATGTGGAAACATCTGGTTGAAAGGACTCTGTATGATTTAGGACCGCAGCTAAAAGCAAGCAATTAAACAAGCTGCCAGTCTGAGTAGAAAGTGCAGTTAAATGCTACTGTCAGTCAAAGAGGCTATGTAAAGTAATGTTTTTTGTCCACTCACTGCCAGAAACAACATGATTTTACTTTCAGTTGTCATGACGATGCTGCCTCAATAATCATGCAACGCTCCACAATCCATTTAGCAATTAAAATGCAGATAGCACGGTATGTAGCGGCCCCGGCCACAGCATCAGACAAAGAATTAGCTTTTGAATGAAATGAATGGAGGCATTCAGGATGACATCGACTGATTAGCTGAACAGAGTCGAGAGAGAGAGAGAGAGAGAGAGTGTGTGTGTGTGTGGGGGGGGTGTAACTGGCTTTGACTACATTCTGTACAAGACTCTTGCACATGAGTGTAAGACGTGATTTGTTTGTGGAGGTTTCTAACTTTGGTACGACGGCCATGTTCTTTGGTATGTTTACTTTCTATGGTGAAGTCACATGAATTATCAATGGACTGTATATAAGGAAGTGGGAAACAGCCTTTTACGCCTACCTTCTCCACGATCTGTCTACGTAGATGGAGATTTCTTTGGATACAGCCAGTCAGATCTTGCATAAAGCAACAGGTATTCGTACACGCACCTACACATGTTTAGGATTATTCTATCTGCTTAGCCTTCTGATCAGGTTGAAATGGACCTTGTTTTGCAGCAGACATTTTGACATGTCACTGTAGGAAAAGCACTGGTGTAAATAATACAGTAATGATGCAGTCCATGTGCGATATGGCCAAAAATTTTAGCACAATATACCATTCGAAATCAGTAATTATCACGTTAAATGTCAAAACTATATTTCTTTCTTTCAGATTTAAAGGCATATTTTTGCTTCCTCAACGAAATAAATATCCTAATAGAAAGATTTAATACCAATTTGTTTGTGATCCAAATGAATTAAATCAAACATTTATTGAAGATATATTGAACATTTGTTATATTGTTATTAAGGAAATTTATATTGTGAAAATTATGATTATTGTTTTAATGCCCAGTCCTAAGGCCCTATAGGACCCATCAGGCCAGGGTCTTGATATTGTGCATGCTGGATCACTGAAATGGCTCCTGGGACACTTCAGTAGAACAAAGCCATAATTAAATATTACAGTATTTGTTATTAAGCACAGTCTACAAACAGTCCTGAGATGAGGTCAGGTAAAATTATTGAAAATACCTGTGTGGGTGTACCATGGGTGTATTAATGGGCTCTCAAATGCAGATGTTGGCAATATTTCTGTGGCAGATTTACCAGGGCTGCAATGAACATATATTTTAATGATTCATTAATCTACCAATTATTTTCTCTGTTAATCATTTGATCTATAAAACAGAAAACAGTGAAAAATGCCCCTAGAGCACAAGGTGATATCATTAAATGTCTTGTTTGTTTATTAACCAACAGTCCCAATCCCAAACGTATTTAATTTGTTACAATGAAATGACCAAGAAAAGCAGCAAACTCTCACATTTGACACCTGGACCCTTCAAATGTTTGGTATTTTTGCTTTTTTATGATTGTTCGATTCAACTTAACCAATGCAGCTCTACAGTGTCCGTGCATTATAAGTCTGCAATAACGTATCATTAGATGATATCTCAGGTTTTAACATTAAATTGTAAACAGTCCCCATGTCGCCCCCCTCAGTTCTAGACTGTTTGCTTCTGTGTAATTTAAAGGCAGACACACTTCCAGTCTGTGTATCAACAGTTGACAATGGACCCCTGCTGCGTAGCTGTTGCTGTTGTGTGTTCCGGGAGTGATGAGCTTGTAAACGGGTGTTAATTTTGTCAAGCTGCTCCAGCATTTATTCTGAGATTGACGTGAACTATAGGTAACAGCTACCTCAGAGAGAGGTGGCTGCCGCATTCCCCAGAGCCCTTTGTTTACTCTGAGTTAATTAAAGGATTATAGCTGGCTGTTTGGGGAACATGTGAGTATGAAATAAAGGGAGACAAAGACTGTCTTTGCTCAAAAGGAAACCACTTCCTCACAAATCTAAATATTCAAACAGTTTCACCTAAAATGTAAAATTAATTAGAGCAGAGTAGTCATGTTTCTAAAATGTTAGTGTTTCCCGTTGGATCTGTCACTGTAGCAGCACTTTTTATCATTATCTGCAAAAATAGCATATTCCCACTGACGCTCCCACTTTCCAGGGAACTTAACATGACGTCAGCTCCCTTTTCAATCAGCCATGACAATTAGTGTATCAGCTGAAAGAGAGAACAGTATACAAATTAAAAGGCGTCTTAACAAGTCTACATTAGCTTACAGTGATATTGGTTAGACAGCCATATTAAAATACGTACCTATATGAGTGTTGTAAGGGTCAGTAAATAGATAATTGATCCTGGAAGGCTTAACTTAAGGGCTTAGGGTAAATTTGGCTGGTGGTTCACATAAGTTGAGAACATGTTTGTTTTCATTTTATGAACTATCCCTTTCTTATTTTAGCTCTTACAGAAAGAAAAGGGGCAAACATTGAATGGAAAAACAGATTTGACAGATCTTTAGTTCCCGTTCTGAACATGCCTTGGCTAAGCTTGGAATAGCCTCTCTCTTGTCTTTTAACTTGGAGAGCTCAGTAGCAGCAGCTAGCAGTCTGACAGGTGAAAGTTCTAAGCAAATTAGCTGCAGGGTCAGATGATGAACCATATCCTCTGAGTGTTAAAGGCTCCCTGTTCACTTTCTGCATCGATTCATTCTTTAGAGAGTAGGATGATTTTTGACGCACCAATCATCTAACTAGGCCAATAAAATATCACAACTATTAATAGAGAGCATGTGTATGTGTGTTGAGGCATCAGCATCGTAGTTCCTGCAGGAAATGGAAGGTGCATCTGCAGTGATGCACGCACAGACATATTGCCATGCTTCGGTGTAAACAACAGCGCGTTTGCTACACTGTAAATGTGGGTGTAGTCGTGCATCCATTGTGGTTGTGCACCATGAAAATATTTCGGTTGCTGTGCACGTGCACAAGACCGCATACTTGACTTTATCTCCCTACTTTTCTTTTCATCTGGCGTACTGTCAATACTTTAATGATAAGGTTTATTTGCATTTTGTCATGAAATGGCAACAAACTAAATGAAAAAAGATGGAGCGCAGTTAAGATAAAAAGAATCTTGAAGCTTACACCAAACTGTCAACTAAAGTATCCTCTTTAAAAGATAAAATTAAGGCAAAAAGTACAGCTTTGATAAGTGACAGTGAAGCTGATATAAAGAGATGATATAAAGAATGTCTCACCACGACCTGGTTAACACCTCTACCCAAGTTTCAATAACAGCTCTTCGTGACAGCAGCTCAAGTGCACATAATGTTAGGACAAACTGACGTCTCAAAACTCCCTACAGGGTTTTCCCACAGGAAATTACTTAGCCGATGTGATAAGCCGAGCAGATCCTGAAGCATCATGTCTCAATTTAGTTAGTTGATGATGGCCTAAGTGATTGCCCCACTCATTAAGTATATGTTTTTCTTTTTAGATTAAAGCTGCCCTCATTAATCAAACCATTGTTTTTAATTAAGAACACATCAAATGACTGTTTCAAGTGAAATGGGTCACTCGTAGTGACAAACACGTAGTGAGGATTGTCACCAACCTTTGCAGCTCCATGGATTGTTTTAGTGTGAATTGAATGTGTTTTTTGGTTTACTCTCATCTCTCTCATCAACCTTGATTTTAGCAGCTCAAGATGCACATATTTCTGTCAGGAGCTGGTAGAGACCAAAACCACACCTGAAAGCAGGGTGAATATCGATTAGATGATAATATATTAGTGTTATGTTTGCAGCTTGTTCCACTGACCATACTGCAAAGTCAGTTTTTGCAGGTTTAAATTGTATTTTTTGTGTCTCCTGAGTGGATTTATTTTGTATTTCAACAAAAGCAAAAACTTATGTAAAAAACTGCAACCGTTTTACAAGAGAAGTTAATCCAGCTTTTTAATGTGTGAAAGTGCATTAACAATACATTTCTTTTCCTTTTCCCTCCTACTTTTGTATCAAAATATTTTTGCTAACAACCCTTTTCTGTCTCTCTCTCTCTTTTTCCTCCTCACTGTTAGCAGTCTAATTTGCCGCTGCCCTTACATCACATCACAACCTCAACAGACGCAGCGACCATGGGCAAACAGAACAGCAAGCTCCGTCCTGATGTCATGCAGGACCTCATTGAGAACACGGACTTCACCGAACACGAGATCACTGAGTGGTACAAGGGCTTCTTGCGGGACTGCCCCAGCGGCGCGCTCTCCATGGAGGAGTTCAAGAAGATCTATGCCAACTTCTTCCCTTACGGAGACGCCTCCAAGTTTGCCGAACACGTCTTCCGCACGTTTGACGCCAATGGAGACGGGACTATAGACTTCAGGGAGTTCATCATTGCTCTGAGTGTGACCTCCCGTGGCAGACTGGACCAGAAGCTGAAGTGGGCGTTCAGCATGTACGACCTGGACGGGAACGGATACATTAGCAAGGCCGAGATGCTGGAGATCGTAACGGTGGGTTTACAGTTCTGGAGCATTTTGTTTTTGGTCTGTGTCTGTTTTGGCTCCTCGTATCTTTATTTTCCTCTCTCCTATGTTCTCTCAACTGTTCAGACTTTCTGGTTCTTTAGCTTTATATAGTCTTTCGGTGGCCATTGCATGCCATCCTGTTAACGCCATGTTCCCTGGTCCTAAAACTACTCCCGCAGTGAAATTAACATTTTGCTCAGCCATCCACACCAGCTGCTACATCATATATCCTTCTGCTTCTGTGTTCTGCACCATTTGACTGCCCACAGCAGGAAAACCAGCCGCTGTGTAATTTTAGAAACCAGCAGTTCCTCTCAGGTGGTCCTCCTCTGATTCTCATATTGACTCAGCACATCCAGCAACTGTGCAGTTCTGGAAATTATTGGATAAATGCTTCAGATGTCTGTCAGAGCTTCAACACACACACACGCACACACACACACACACACACACACACACACACACACACACACACACACACACACACACACACACACACACACACACACACACACACACACACACACACACACACACACTGGCAATCCCGTGCACATGTTCTTACATCACACATCATGGTGTTAAATTGAGCAGAGTGCCAAAGAATGTGTAATCCCATTCTCAGTGTTCTTTATTTATAGCGTTGTCTGTGTTAATTTAGTGGGTGTGTTTCTGCCTTTATACTGTACACTCGCAAAATATTCAGTCTATATAATTGATTCATGGCTTTCTGCATTAAGCTGAATGGCCAGGATAATTTATATCAAATGGTTGTTAAAATACTGTATGCAAAAGCAGCCAACTACAGAGGCAAGAAGACAAACTGCAAGGAGTTGCAGCTGAAGGAGTGAGACCGAGCGTGATGTGGCCTATGACCAGTTCATCATTCAGTAGTTTGTAGTAATGCAGGGCAGTGAGGATACAGCCCTTTTATACAAGACTAGCGTGGATACCGATGTGCATCATTGGCAGTAATTACAGTTACCTCTCATACTCTAACTGCAGCTGACTAGACTAAACTCTCTACAGGGGTCTGTCTGAGTGATCAGTGCCCCGACGTCTGTTACTTTGATTCACTTGGAAAACTCTAAACTTTTCAAAACACCTCAATGTGTTCGCGAGCAAATAAAACCTCTAACCCACTTCAAATACTGGTGAACTGCACCTGCATCTCCCAGTAAAACAGGGGTGAAACAAATATTTTTTCCTGATTTCAGGAGTTGCTGCAGCCCCTTTACTTCCCACATCCCTTAAAAGTAATCACAATTACCCAGAATCCAAGGCATCTTCAAATTTATTTTGTTTAAAGAAGCTGTAACATTTTTGCTTGATAAACTACTAAAAATTAGTAATTGATTATTTGTCTGTCAATCAATTGAATCTTGGGTTGAACAATTTTGGAAAATAATCTAATTACGATTTTTTTTTAAACCAATATTCCGATTTAATTTGCGATAAATTTTTAAGCTCTTTACCTTCTGAATTATTCAAAATGGATAAGCAATAAATCAAGTGTATCCTATAGTATGACCAACACAATATTAGCTAGATTAAACATACACTGTTCTTTCTTGTAGGCCAGGCCTGTGTTATGATGAAATTAGGTGATGCATGAATTGCATGAATTATTATTATGAGCAATGGTGGAGAAGAAATATCAAACTATAATATGAGAAAGATAATTTGAGAGTCAAATCATGGCATTAAATAATATGATATTATATCATCAGATAAGCCTACCTACTGACCACAAGCAAAGTTCACCACAGTGTGTTATACAGTAAGTGCTCAATACAAAACCCTAGGAGTCCATCTTTCTATATCCCAGTAAGCAAACAAATACTCAGTTTGAGGTTCAGTTCAAAAGTTGGCCAACGAAAATAAAAGTAAGTGATGCCCCTCGTGTTTAATAGACAAGCTTAGTAATTCTCCGAAAACACCGGAGTTCCCCCCTCCTCCCCTGCAGCCTCTGATGCTGGTGAGCAGCACTGGCTGTAACCAGACTGTAACCACCCTTACCACTCTCTATGTGATGTATGCGTGTGTTGTGGTGGGAGCTCGGTCACACACACTGCTCTGGTGTGTTGCTGTAATCATTATGACGAATATTTCACACGTTTGCAGGTTGAAGTGTGAAATAGAACGATTGTAGTAATGAAAGGAGATGAATAAAAGACATGAAGAATCATGGTGCAGGTGTGAAAGGTTGAAAAACAACATTTTGCAGCAATATTAATAAACTAACCACTTCTGCTTTTAATATCTCAGAAAACCTAAACAGTAAGGCACATTACACATTAGCTTGTCTTGATTTGTCATCTAGTTACAACCTAAACTACATCCTCTAGATATGAATACTTCCTGTTTGTTTCTGTATAGTCAAATCTTGCCCCAGAGCCAAACAATCTCTCTTCCTCTCAGAAGAGATAAGTTGACAGTTTTTACAGATGCAGTGAGAAACATAAACGTTTTCATATGCCACTTCTAATAATAATATTTCTGTTTAAACATTTCTTCGTCTCTGTTCTCTCTGTCTCCAGGCTATTTACAAGATGGTTTCCTCTGTGATGAAGATGCCTGAGGATGAGGCCACACCTGAGAAACGCACAGACAAGATCTTCAGGCAGATGGACACAAATAGAGATGGTAAGCCTTCCTCAGCTCGGCCACAGTAACCTCTTTAAAGCCTATGACTGAATGTAATTTTAAAAATTGTACTTTGGAAAGCTATCCTATGAAAACAGTGACCTGTGATTCTACGGGTTTCCATCAGCCTAATCAAATTCAGTGTTGCCAGGTTTGACTGACATAAAAACCAGATCAGCACCTTCAACCATCCCAGTTGTGATAAAGGTTTCCCAGTTATAATTAAACATTATAATACTCCTGTTATGTGAACAGATGTAAGCTTTACTTGGCTTTTAGCACGTTTGAAAATTTTTTCAACCCAGTTCTAATAAACTGAAATGACATTTGGTTTTGTTGGTCATCAGTTCTTGTTCTCTGCATGTCGAGCCTACTGTATTCAGTGCCCTGTAAATTTTGTATTGTACCACACGGAAGAGAAAATTGGCTGATTTAGTGGAATATAGCCTTTTTTGTCATGGGAAACTGGCCAAATAGTTCTAAAAAAGCCCCAAACCCAACCAGTTAAGTAAAAAAAAGCAGTAAATTGCCCAATCTAGCAACACTGATTAAAATCTCTAGATAACACTCGCGGTCTAACTTGAAGCCATTTAAATAAATAAAAGAAATTGCAAAACATGATTTGCAATGAGTAGTTTTTAAAAGACCTGCTAAAATAACTGTCTCATCAGCTCAGGGTGATGTGCTCTTTATTTTGATTTAATTTGATTAAACAAGACAATAAGCTCTAATCTGTCTCTCTCTTTCTCAGGTAAACTCTCCCTGGAGGAGTTTGTTGAGGGAGCGAAGAACGATCCTTCCATCGTCCGGCTGCTTCAGTGTGATCCCAGCAGTGCTGGGCAGTAGAAAATTGACTTTTCCCATTGCAGTTTTGATTTAATTTAACAGATTTTCAAGATCTCTCCCAGCTGACCCATCTGAGATTGTTGACATTTGATCACTTGAGCTATAGAGGCACATGTGCGTGCACACACACACACACACACACACACACACACACACACACACACACAGTAGCCAACATGCAATTGTACATACTGCAAATACCAAAGCCTGATGCAAATACATTCTTTCAGATGCCGACATGCACATACTGTACATGTGCCTCTATGCCTGGTCAAAAGCTACAGACAACACGGGTCTCATACATGGTACAAATATAACCCAAAGGACTGAAATCCCATCAAAGACTTGTTAAACACTGAATCAAAGCTGCGCTATCTCTGTCTGTCTGAGAAGACGGCCAGCGAGGAAAATCCAACAGATTCGTGAGGTACATTGAGCCGAATCCAAGTTCGCTGTTTCTTTTTATTCTCTTATTTGTTGTTTTTTGAAAGCGTTCTTCCTTGTTTAAAGGGAATCATGCTCATTTTGTTTTCTTTAACTGACTCGGGTTGTTGTGTGATGATGGACAAAGTGTTGCAGTCTAAGTCCATGTTAACACTGGATGAAATTAAGTATGTAAGACTGGGACTTCCAAGTGTTCACAGCTTACAGTATGGCTTACGTATACAGGAGATCTGGGAATATGATTTTAGCCATACAAGATTTTAAGAAAGGATGAAAGATGATTTTTTTTTTTTTTTTTTTACGAAGACATGTTTCATTTGGAGAAATGTTACATCAAACCAAAACTGACTCAGATTTCTAAATGAAGGTGAATATTTTGACTACAGATTACAACCATCTGTTCTTTTTGAAAGTGACTTTTTATGCCAAGTTCTGTGTCCGCACACACGCACACACAAATATACACACTTCTCATAAACACACACATTCACACATTCATTTTACTGATGAATACATGAACTTGAAAAAATGCATATAAACCGAGCTGTGATTCTCTTTCTTCAGCTATTGTTTAACAAGTGTATCAGCAAAAAGTTAGATGTTCTCTGAATATATAGTATGTACTTATATTCTTTTATTCTGATAACATTGTGGCGATTTGCTGCAGTGGAAGAAATTCACTTTAAAATTTTGACGTATAAATTATTGGAATGTGATGATAAACATTTTATTTTCTTGACGAATATGATATGAAAGAAGTTGTACAGTATATTCACTCATATATTTATGGTAGAGAAGATAAAAAGGAGAGGACCACACATATTGCTATGCATTCAGCTTTGCATATCTATTGCCACACTGAGAGAAAATTATTACAGATCTCAGCTTGAGCCGAAGCGCCCCACCCCCACTACTGACATCATATTTACCAGGAAGCCAGTAAACATTGGCCGTCATTACGTTTTTCCTGTACTGAGAGTAAACTGTGTGTAAACAGTCTCCCAATGGTGTATGCGTCATTAAAGTACAACGGTAACTTCTGCAAATCTCACGTTTTTGTGCAAATGTGACTTTATATTTCTTGAGTGTGCACTTTGTTCCTCCAAATTTCAAATACCACTGTAATTATAAGACAATTTGATACTGTGATGATGGGGATTACAGATATTTTTATGGCTATGATGCACAGTAACAGACACTTTACAGAACAAAGCACTGACGTTGGTAGCAAGAAATGGCAGCATCCACCAAACCTCACTGTGTTTTTGCAGGACTTACTGATAGCATTTTACTGCTTCAATTCTGCTTAATTTACACCTGCCTGTCCCTGCTGGTCTGAATACACCATGAGATACAGTAGTCTTCACAGGCAGATTAATGATGAGTTTGGGGGGGGGACAGTTGTGATGAACTCTCTGGGTTTCTGCACATTTCAAGTAGATGATCAGGTACTTCAGTCACACATTTCACTTCAATAGCATCTTGTGGTCAAGTGCCAAATACAGATGATTTCAATAAAAGAAAAAAACAGTATTGTATCCATTTATACTGTTAAAGTTGATACCCTTCGAACAAAAAAACATTGTAACTATCATTTTGTAGATTTTGTATTGTTAACTTGCATTATGTGTTCTGTGTAGGATGTCCATTTTGTTATTCAAATAAAGACAAAATGGGAAAATGGCTGATTGTCATGGCTCATGGGATGGTTGCTTGGTCAGTTGGACCATGCAATGACATTTGCATTTAGGGCATTCAGCATATGCTTTTGTCCAAAATGAGTTACAATAAGTTCATTTATCAGAAGAAATACCAACAACTATAGAATGGATTTCTCGTGCCATCATCAGGTCAAAAAATATTTGGCCAAATACCTGCTAAGCTACTGACATTTCCATCATCAGCTGTACTTTATTTAGTGCTGCTAACAGGCTAAACTAAAATGCAGAACATTCTAACTTCTTCTAGACATTGGTATGTTAGCATTGCCATTGTGAGAATGTTAGCATGCTGACATTTGGCTCAAAGAAACCTGTGCCTGTAAAGCCTCACACCATCAGGTCAAAATCTATTCCATTACTTCGGTTTATAAGCAGATACCAGCTAAACTAAAGACATTCATCAGCCTCAGTTCCAGTTTGTGCTTATTAGCAATTGCATATAGCATGACAAAAACTAAAATGTTGAACACAGTGAACTTAGTGTTGAACAAATATCTGGTCAAAATTGATTTCAGAGAGATACTGACTTTTTGACATAACCATATCAAAACAGCTCTGATACAGAAAGAGCAAAAACATCTGCTAACTGGGGACATAACCAGTGCTAATTCTAACTGAAGTTAAATTAACAGTTTTTGACTTTTGACTATGGGACAGTAGCTAAATCTCATAATGAAGAAACACAGCTAAACGAGTTTGGCCCAAAGATAACTTAGCTTAGCAGAGTACAACAGTGCTGCTGTCTCAGGTTTGACAAGTTGAATTCCTGTAATTTGGTGTCCAGTTGTCTTAAAATACATATAATAAAGGTATTTTATGTCATCTGTTTGTCAGCCAACCCTTTTTTCTCATCTTCATTATTTCTGTAGTCAATGCGCTTTGCCTTTGGAGTTCACATCAGTATCTTACCATTGTCATCTTGCACATGTTTGTATGTAAGTTAGCATTTAGTTCAAAGACACCTGTGCCTTGCCTTTAGAGCTGAATAGGAAAGCAAAATCCAAGATGAGATCTCATAGTTGTTTCCTTCTTTTCTCCTAGACACAAATGAGCTGCTTTTAATACCAAGATGAGACCAAAGGCCTTTTCTCCCACTTCTCAAATTCATCTCAGGAGAAACAACCATATAAAATCTCATTTATATCTTACTCTGATCAAAGGATGAGATCTCTAGTTTATCTTAAATAAGTCTTATTTAAGTCTCCTGAACATTGGACCATGAGATCATAGAAAGAGCTCAAAGAAAACCTTAGCTATGACTCCTGGGATCTCATGATTCTTGTCACATATGTCTCAGTTTTTCATATTGGCCTCAGGAGCAAAAACTCATCTCTGTCTTACTCTGATCAAAGGATGATATCTCTACAGTATCTTAAATAACTGTAATTTCAGTCCAGAACGTGGATCGGAAAAAAAGCTCCAAGATATTTCTCAGCTTTGTCTTACTGACCCCACTTAGGGGTTATTTTACTCAAGTACTCTACTTATGTCAAATGTTGAGTATTTTCTTTTTTATGGGAGTTTGTAGTTTTACTCCCCTTAATTTCAAATCCTTATCGTATTTATTGTTAATTAATAGAAAAAAAAAATTAATTTTGACATTGAAAATAATGCACTTTCAAATGTCATGTTTTCCAATTGGTTAAGGTCACAGCCGACATAACTGGAACACCCAATACTTTGACATGATGTTTAGAGATTCATTCATTAAGGACCGAATGCACGCAAGAACTGAGATTCAACATGTATCTGTCATACAGAATAAGGACTTTTACTTTTGATACTTAAGTACATTCACTATGGAATACTTTTATACCTTTTACTTGACTAGAATTTTGAGGACTTTAATTGTGGATATGGTATTTCTCCTTTTTTAAGTAAAGGAAAATTGTACTCTATTTAAAGACAATCAGTCCTGTACTTATCATTTTAGCTGGATGGCACAGCGCCAGCGTTGTTGCCCTTTGAACAGCAGGAGCAGGGTTCAAATCCAGCTCAGGGCCTCCAGCACGGTTCTCCAAGCATAGACAGTAATGTGATACAATTAAGCTCACGAACATCTCAGCTCCCAACTGCTTTTTAGGAGCAATAAGCAAGACAAATAATGAACTCGAGAAGATACAATGATGAGATCTCATCTGTTACTTTCATTTATCCTATTGTAATCTCAATTCAGTATCCATTTGTCTTACCTAAGTCTGAAAACCTCAATCTCTCTTCATCTCATCCTTTTCTCCTAAGGGGTTCCAGGAGCAACAATTCAGATTGGAGTGATCTCAAAAAGATATACTATTCAGATCTTAGTGTTTTCTCAAGAGTTAAAGAAAAGACTATGGCTGTAGACTCTTAAGTCTTATTTTTTCTAAAAATGACCGTTGAATGTTTATATCTTTATTCATTTTTCAATACAAGGGCATGAGCACTACACAACAACCAAGTGCCATTTGTCACCCTAAGTTGTTTACAGAATTTACCATCTCATGTAAGGTCCTACAAAAAAAACACTTAGGCTATTTGTTGACATGTAAATAGTACAACATGGCTGAAAAATAGAGATAAGCCATTTAAAAACTCCTTGAGTAGTAGAGGGTGACTATGAAAAAAGTCACTGAAATGTAAAGTACTTGAAATTCTTGGATAAATTCCTAAAGAAATGCAAAACATTGTCATTAAAAGCATTAATAAATAATAACACAACTAACAAAACCAAAAGCTGGCATGCAAAGAAGCTGCTAAGTTACTTAGGACCATATACTGAATATAAAGATTATTTGGCAAAAAAACACAAGACTGTACAGGATAAGAATTAAAGTACAAATTCTTTTATACAAAATATTCAGCAAAGTGGAGGACATGGATCTGTACTCCATCATTTAACCTCGCAACATAGACGATTTATACAACGAGAAAGTAAATATAACCAGTTCATAGGAATTTCTATAATGTCCTCTTTTTACGTGTGTCGTCGTCCTCTTCCTGCACAGAAAATACGACTTGCTTCATAATAGTAAGTGTGAGAGGGATCAGGTGTATCGTTGTTGACCTCAAAGCGTCAGTGCAACGCCACCAATGGACTGTCTCCAATACAGTCAGTCAGCTTATCAGCCAATCAATAGCAGCCTCATAGATTTCAGCCAACCAGCAGTCACAGCATCTGTTTCGTCTCAACCTGGAGCCCTTCAGGTCGGCTCATGAGCTGTCAGATCTCCGTCAGCGTGATCTTGTAGGCATCTGCATAGTTCTCCATGTTGAGTATGAAGGTGTCTTCATTGGAGTAATGCTCAATGATGTTATCGTCCATGTTCACCAGGATCCTGACACCAAAGACACTTTAGTTTAATTTCACCACAACATAAGGAATCAAGATAGCTGTAAAACTGCAATCTGCTTCCACACTCACCCTTTTTTACTTTTCTTGTACACTTTGGCTATCCTCTCTGTGGGCACGCCGTACTTCTCGGATATCTATGCATGATAAATGAAAGCAGTTTGTAAACAGGTGCTCTGCTGCAAACAAATTGTGCCTCGCACTCTCACGGGTAATCAGAAAGACAACACTCACAGCATCCATCAGGCCTCTAAGCGTAGGAGACTTCAACATCAGAGCGTCAAACACCTCGTCCATCTCCTTTCTGACATACAAGAGCACTGCAGAGAAAGGGGGAAAAATAAACCTATAATTGTTAGCTACAGATTTGTTTTTTACTTTGGAGTGTGTATATAGTGCAACACTTAAGATATGTAAATATTAAACTCAAACTTTCAGGCTTTTTTGGGGTGTTTGTCACATTAACTGTCCAGGGAATGTGGCTTTGGTCCGTCATATTGGTTTAATTATTAATGTCTATTTTTATTATCAAGTGATTTTTTGATCACTTTTTCTGTTAATCAGTTAGTTATTAAACCTTTATACAACCAGAACCAAGAACAAATGCCATCACAAGTTACCAGAGTATAAAACAATGTCTTTATACAAATTTTGTATTGTAAAATCACCAAAAAATAAATAACAATTTACAGTAGTGCTGAAACTATGAATACATTTACAGATCTGCAACAAAATATCAACTACTATATGAAACATAATAACTTTTTTGTTTGTTTTGAAGCAAAACAATTGTGTGGTGTGATTGAAAGCTCCAGAACAGTGACTAAATTGACTAACATCTTTTTCCATAGCCAAGAATTAACTTTCAATCTGAATTGTTACGCCAACATGACCTTAAACAACCTTTAAGTACTCCAAAAGATTTAAATTTGAACTTCTACAACTCCATGACCACTGCTACAGAAGAACAGCTCCACAACAGCCATTAAAGAGATCTTGCGGTGAGATTGTTTTGTCAACAATCAACAGATTAGTTGATAAGAATGTAATAGTTGCAGCTCTTATTTACAATGGTTTGAAACAGAGACATGAAGCTAATCCTGACATCTGAGAAGCTGTAAGCAGAAAGTGTTTTTACATTTAGCTGACGCTTTTATCCAAAGCGACTTACAATTGCTATACACGTCAGAGGTCACACGCCTCTAGAGCAACAAGGGATTAAGTGTCTTGCACAGGGACACATCGGTGGATGTGTCACAGTGGGGAATTGAACCCAGGTCTTTCACACCAAAGGCATGTGTCTTATCCACTGCACCATCACCACCCAATATATGTGTCCTTAGACACAAAAACTGAAATGCAAAAGCTGCCCTACAGCCTGATATTTTTCCTCAGGCCTGATGTATTACAACTGGACCAAAGGAGTTTGAGCTGAACTGAGCAGAACTTACCAATTCACCATTCTCAGATCATTAAAAAGCTTAGGCTTTAGTCTGCACTGATCATTTCTTCAAGTCAGCTAAAATAAACAATGCACAGAGAGGAGGAAGCAGTCGTCTTGTACCTCTCTTGTGCGTCTCCTCTTTGATCTGCTTGTGAGGGGACGGACACAGATCTTCATCTGACGGCCTGAA